GAAGGCAAATGTTTTGAGAATGATGAGGGCAACAGATGTACATATGTACTTGACACAATGGATGTATGTATGGACTGTGATAAGAATTGTACCAGTCCCCAATAAAATAATTAAAAAAAAATAGTCTGGGGCAGAAAAAGGATTTCAAATCACAAGATCAGCTGGGAAGCTATGGTTTTCTGTGCAATGAAAAGGGAAACAGGTTAAAAAAAAAGGGAAACGGAATCTTTCAACCTTCCTAATGCTACCACCCTTTAATACAATTCATGTTGTGGTGACCCGCTCCAGCCATAAAATGTTCATTGCTACTTCATAACTGTAATTTTGCTACTGTTATGAATTGGGCGATCCCAGTCAAAGGGTCATTTGACCCCCAAAGGGGTCACGACCCACAGGTTGAGAACTGCTGTTATGATAGATACCTATGTTAATGAACTCGATGTGGGTGATGAGGAAAAAAAGGAGGACTCAAAGGTGATCCCTGTGTTTTACATAACTGGGCAGACACATGGTAGCACGGCAGTGTCATTTATGCTCAAGAGAGGATTATGGCAGACTGGGCTGGTGCTTTGGAGTGAAAAATCTAGAGTCCCATTTTGAGGGATCTGGTAGACATCTATGTGATGTTAAGTTGGTATTTGAACCTTTGCATCTGATTTATGCTCTGAGAGGAAAGGTCTGGGAGGAGGAATTTGGGAGTGTCTGTATACCAATAACCTCTAAATCAAGTAAAATAGTTGAAAATAAGAGTCGGCCCTGACTCATTCCCCTGAGTTTAAGTCCCAGCTCTACAAGTAATTATCAAATGAAGATTCTGACCTGAAGGCCAACAGGCTTGGGGGCTCAGCCTGGACCCATATTTTCCCTTGATCTGTACCAGTCTTTCATTTTCTTTCCTTCATTATCTTTATTCCTTTTCGCATCTACTTTTTTCCTTCCTTTTAACTCTTGGCCCACCATTCTCTTTTCTACTCCCAAAGAGGTCACTTCAACTATGATCATCTTGTGGAATGAAGGAAGTTAGTGAGGGTAGGGGTCGGTGAAGCGAAATATAAACTAAGCAAAGAAAGGTAGTACATTCATCAATCTAGATGTTCCAAAATTAATAAGTCAAATAAATGAAAATAAGAGAGTGGACCCTGACTCACTCCCCCGAGTTTAAGTCCCATCTCTACAAGCAGTAATCACATAATGTTTGAGCAAATTACTTAACCTTGTGAACTCAAGTTTCCTCGGAATGCATACGTGGGGCGAAATAACCGTACCTACCTGAAAGGGTTGTTCTCTGGGTCTGTAAGATCAGCACCAGGTAGGGCATGGCTCAAAGCTAGCAGTTGGCAGTTTTTCTTGAAAAGGAAGCGCCGCAGGAAGAGACCCTCTATATTTGCCGTAGGCAAGTAATCTTAACAAAGGGAAGAGGAGCCACCTACATTTTGGACACTGTGAAGACCTCGCCCAGCGGGTCCTAGCAGCGGCCGCTGCTTTCCACATTCAAAAAGTCCAAAACAAAAATGCTAAGAAAAAGTACATCGGGGCTTTTTTTTTTTATCCTCCACGAGGGCCGCGGTGGACGGCAGGCAGCGAGGGCAGTGGTCCTCCGAAGGCCGGCAAGGCTCGGCGCACGAGGCTCTCCGGATGCGGAGCCCATCGGGCAGGAACTACTGGTCTACCGACGAGCCGTGGGGCCGGTCAGGTGTGGCGGCGGCAGCCTCACCACGCTCGCGTCTCCGCCAAGTCTTTACAATGTCCAGGATGGAGTCCCAGATCCGCGTCCCCCGCTGACCGAGGCGAGGCCGCGCCAGCACCGCGCCTCTCAGGGAGCCGGCCGAAAGCTCCCCGTGCGCGCCCAGCCCCTCGCGAGCCCGCCTCCGCCCACTTGCAACCTTCTTCCGGGCGCCGGAGGAGCCGCGGCCGCTCCAGCCCGCGGCGCGCGGCGGCCCCGCCCACTCCCAGCAGGCAGTGCGGCGCGCTGGCCGCCATTGTTTGAATTTGAAAACACCGTGGTGGAGTTAGCTGGCGCGGCGACGCGTGCAGGTAAGGCGGGGACCCGGGTGAGGGGATCCGGGAGAGGGGCGGATAACAGCACACGCTGGGCCTTCGGTGGGAAACGGCTTGGGCAATCTTGGCATTGACCGCAGAGCTCCTGGCGCCCCTAAGGTTCCAGTGAGAGACCGAGTTGCGGAACTGTGAAGGCGCTGGGGGCCCCTAAGTCTGTGGCGTGCGCCACTCCTAGTCAAGAGTCTAGTTCCGAGCCAGGACGGCACTGCCTGAATCAGGATTTAAGTCTGGGCGCTGCCCCGTTTTACTTGAATTTTCCGTCAGCAGTTCATTGCGGCTCGATGGCGGCCCCTGCCAAGGTTGCAGTGGAGAAATCTTAGAACCCGAGCAGGCAGGCGCACGGTTCTCCCACAGAACCGCGGGTGGGCTTGAACTTCTCTCCTCTTGGCGTTAGCAACCCAACGCGTAACCAGCGAGCCACCGGCGCGCCTTTCAGGCGTGTAGTAGGGCCTGAGAAATGCTGCAGTGAACAAGACAGCATATCTCAACCGATTTAAAAAATGTTTTGGGGAAATTTGCTAGTTGAAATATGAATCAGTACGAACCTCTTTAACCTTACTATTTAGGAGGTGCACATATTATTGCTAATGCAGCAATTTTTTTAAAAGGATTACTAGAAAATTTTGTTTTTAAAAAAACCAAGAATTGATGCATATCTTTTTCTGGGCATTTCCATGTCTACATTATGAAGTGTCAAGCCGGTACTAAAGTGTATTTGCAAACTGTTTTTCAGTGATTTAGGTCAGTGATTTTTAACTTCATCGGATTCCTTTTCCCCCTTATTCACCTGTAAATTGCATGCTTTAAATATTTTCTGAGACTACAATAAACCATTTTTCCATTTTTTTCATGACATCACTAAATATACCCTAAAGATGAGCACAAAAGAATGTTAAACTTGTGTCGTTGTTGGTTGGTCCTATAGTCTGCTGGGCTTTATTGAAGGTAAATGTACATTTTTGTTAGGCCTTTTGCATTTTAGTGTGGAAAGGAAAAATTGGGTACTCATTACTTTCTTCTTGAGTAAAGGGTCATAGTTGGGAGTCACTATTCCACATCCTTTCCAGTATTTTCAAAGGTCAAGTTCAGCATGGAGCTTTCTCTTTTTTTGGTTGCTAATGTGTGTTGAGTAGATTGTCAGTAAATATACGAATGTTAATATTTTTTACTTGAGGTTAACCTTAAGGCTACTTTTACTTTTTGTGACTTGATGTTTAATTCAGTTGTAGCAGTTCACTGATACGTTATTCCATATTCTGTTATAGACGTACTGTATATAGACGTACCATATATTCCATATTCTGTTACAGACGTACCTTGGATGACATAAAGTAGACCCTGGTGTCTTAGTGGGTTACAGCTAGGTGAGCGATTGGAAACCACTGGCTGCTCCACGGGAGAAAGATGAGGCTTTCTACTGCAGACAGAGTTAAAGTCTCAGAAACCTACTGGGGTAGTTTTACCCTGTCCTATGGGATTTCTTTAAGTTGGAATCCAGTTGGTGGAAGTGAGTTTGGTGTTTGTTATATGCTAGATTCTCTTCTGACTGCTACATTCTTTCAGTTGAAAGGGTATAATTAAAATTAATTTCCTAGATAACAGTTTAATTCATAAATGCGAAAATATTTCAAAACCTTTAACATTTTCCAGAACACTTTAAGTAACTAAAATAACTTAACCCAAACCAAATAAAACTCAATGCCTACTCATAGTGACCCTATAAGGCAAGGTCCAATTGCTCCTGTGAGTTTCTAAGACTGTAACTCTTTCCAGGAGTTGAAAGTCCCATCTTTCTCTGGTAGAGCAACTGGTGGCTTTGAACTTCTGACCTTGGAGTTAGCAGCCCACTGTGTAACCACTATGCCACCAGGACGATTCTCTTAGTAGTTAATGCCTGAGAGGATTTTAGGCTGAGGTTGACTATTTTTAATGTGTCCCTATGCATTATCTTTGCTCATGTACTCTGGCTGTAGATTTGGGTTGGATCATATGAATAATAGTGGCAGGTTAGTTGTAATATTGTTTGGTTCTGAATCTGTGAGTGGTTTTATTTTTTTTTCTTATGGGTCAATGTGTTATAGATAAAGCAGTTTACTCTTTCCTTGCACTACTTCTAGGTATATGGCTATGGGTTGGTTTGCACGCTGATTTAACTAAGGTTGTCTGAAGAAAATGCTATTATTCTTACAGAATGGAATCTAATTTGAATCAAGATGGGGCTCCCAGACCTTCTTATGTTTTTAGTGCTGACCCGATTGAAAGGCCTTCGGAAATAAATTTTGATGGCATTAAGCTTGATCTCTCTCATGAGTTTTCTTTAGTTGCTTCAGGCGCTGAGGTAAGTACAAGAAAAAATATATTGATTATCATGATTGAATGGAAAGGGTTGGTTTTTGTTTTGCTGGGGAGGGTTTCCTAGAGGAGAGAGGCCCGAACTTAATGGATTCAGCCACTCCCTGGGAGAAAATGAGGTTGTCTACTCCCATAAAGATTTACAGCCTTAGGATCACTATGAGTTGGAATTGACTCAGTGGCAATGGGTTTGTTTTTTTTTGTTTTTTTATGGGTTTGGTTTTTGATGGGATTGGTGTATCAGTAATTTTTGTGTCATACCTCTAGGCCCAAAGAAGTATTTCAAGATCTTTTTCAAGTAATTGGTCCAAACAGCTTTTTAAGTATGTTAACTATGGGAACGTTGGTGGTTTAGTGGTTACCAGTTCGCATGCAGTGCACAAAGTCAGGAGTTTAAAACCACCAGCCACTGCATGGGAGAAAGATGGGACTTTCTACTCCCATGAACAGTTACAGTTTTGGAAACCCACAGGGGCAGTTCTACCCTGTCCTTTAAGGTTGCTGTGAGTTAGCATTAACTTGATGGCAGCGAGTGAGTGATGCTTTAACTAGTTGCCAACTGGAAATAAATAACTTCATTCTTAACCACAATTATTTCGTAGTGGGATATGTTTGCTTTTGGGGATTGCACAGCGCCTCAAAAATTTTTGGATCAGATTAAACACTACTATTTCCTGTTCTTTACTGATTGTGAGTGGTTGATGTGTTCCATCGAGTCCTTTCCAACTAAGTGACCCTAGAGTACAAAGTAAATCTACAGCACAGGGTTTTCTAGGCTGTGGCAGATGACCAGGCTTTTTCTCCAAAAAAATTTCTTGTGTGTTCCAACCACTGACCTATCAGCAGCTGAGCACTTAACCATTGCATCAGAAACCAGTGCACTGCGTTGGAGATGATTCTGACTCCCAGTGAGAACAGAGTAGCATTTCCATGGCTGTACATGAACTTTACAGAAACAGACCTCTTTCTACCTTAGAATGACTGATGGATTTGAATCATTTTTTGGCTAGCAGCCAGATGGATGCTTTAATTACTTCACCACCAGAGCTCCATTGTGTGTGTGTGTGTGTGTGTGTGTGTGTGTGTGTGTGTGTGTTACTGCTGCCGAGTGTATTCTCCATCCTTATGGCCTTGTATAGGGTTTCCACGGTTTTATAAGTCTTTATAGGAGCAAAAGGCCTCATCTTTCTTTCACATATTAGGCAAGTGGTGGGTTTGAAACACTGACCTTGCAGTTTCCTGTCTAACCCTGGCAGTGCCACTTGTGTTTTATCATAGGAACTACTAAAACCCACCTTTATAGAGATGACATCATCAACATAAGTAGAATGATTTAGTGTTGAAACTTAACCTTAAGCTACTAGTTCATAAGGTCACCAACAGATATCAATATTGCTGTGATTTTACTATCCTTCCTACTATAAGTAGGATAAGGATCTCCATCCCCATAAAGATTTACAGTTTCAGAAACCCAGAGTCGCAGTTCTACTCTGTCCTATAGGGTCACAATGAATCAGATGGACTCGATGACAGTGAGTTAAAAGGATGAATGAGTTGTAATTCATACTGAAGGGTCTTTGATCTTCTCGTAAGTGCTTCAAGTCCTCTTGGCTTTTCAGCAGGCAAACGTGTCATTTGCATATTGCAGGTTGTTCATGAATCTTCCTCCAATCCTGATACCACATTCTTTTTTCATACAGTCCAGCCTCAAATTATTTGCTCCAGGTACAGTTTGAATAAATATGAAAGGATCTGACCATGATGCACATCTTTCTTGATTTTAAACCGTGCAGTATACCAGGTTGACCATGAGCTCAGTGAAGTATTCTGGAAGTCCCATTTTCTCAGTGTAGCCACACAGTTGAATACCTTTGCATAGTCCATGAAACACACATAGCTTTATGCTGCTCTCTGCTTTCAATCAAGGTCCATCTGATGTCAACAATGATATACCTTGTTCCATATCTCTGACCCTGGCTTGAATTTCAGACAACCGCCGGTTAATGTAATGCTGCAACAAAATTTGGACTATCTTCTGCAGAATTTTACTTGTGTGTGATATTAATAGCATTGTTTAATAATAGCTGCATGTTGTTGAGCCACCTTTCTTTGGAATGCACACAAATGTGGATCTCTTCCAGCCAGTTGGCAAGGTAGCTGTCTTCCAAATTTCTTGGCATAGAATAGTAAGGGCTTCCAGTGTTTCGTCAGTTGGTGGAAACAATTCAGTTGCCGTCCTGTCAATTCCCAGAGTGCTGTTTCGGCTGATGCCTTCAGTGCAGCATCCTGGACTTCTTTCCTTTGCACCATCAGTTCTTGGTCATGTTGCCTCTGGAAATGTTTGGTTGTTGTGCATTGATGTGCATTCTTTTCCTCTTTTGATTCTTCCTACATGCTTCAGTATTTTATCTATAGAATCCTTCAATATTGCTGCTCAACTGTTTAATTTTTCTTCAGTTCTTTCAGCTGGAGTTATGGTGAGCGTATTCTTCCCTTTGGGTTTTCTAACTCCAGGTCCTTGCCCAGTTCATTATAATCTTTGTTTTTGTTAGCTAGCTACGTTTCAGAAATTTCTGTTCAGCTCTATTTGTTACTTCATTCACTTTACTACTCTCAGCTTCAGAGCAAGTTTCAGAGTTTCTTGTTACATCAAGTTTGGTCTTTTCTTTATTTTCTGTATATCTCATTGTTAGTAATATATACTATATATAATGTAGCAGTATATAATTTGCTGATGATATCATTCTTATAGAGACCACCAAAGACAAATAAAGATCACATTTATAAAGACACTGATTAAAAAAAGGAAATAATAATGGAAACTTAAAAAAAAAGAACTCAGATTACATAAGAACCTATCTACTCTGAAGTTGTCTAAACAGAACCTTGTCCTACGATGGGGACTGTTTGTGAGGGCTATTGAGTTGATAGTGTTTAATTCTTCTAAATCTGTGTTGTTGTTTTTTCTAATTCTGTTTATCATTGAAAAGTATGTCTGTTATTTTAGATCTATTTCTGTCTTTTTCTGTTAAAGTTTATAAATTTTTGAGCTCTGCTATTCGATGGATAAATATAAATAGTTATGATTGTTAGGTCTTCTGGCGAATTAGCCCTTTAATCATTATATAATGTCTCTCTTTGTCTTCTATAGTGACTCTTACTTTAAAGCCTATTTGGTCAAATGTTAATATTTCCACTTCTGTTCTTTTGGTTACTGTTTGCTTGGTATATTTTTCCATCTTTCGAAACAATAATTTTAACCTAATTATGTCTTTGTCTCAGGTGTGTCTCTTATGAAATATAAACATTTTGATATTAATATTCAATGTGCTTAACAAGAGGTGTGGATTTCCTGCTTCTGTATTGTTATGGTTTTTGGGGGGTGGGGAGTGTTAATGGTTTCTTTGTGTTTACTATCTGTAATGTGCTCTTTATATTTATTTCTGTTCTTTTCATTTGTTAGTATTATTTTTGTGTGTCTCCATCTTTTCTGTTTTCTATTTTGGGGGTGGTGGTGTCGTTACCCTGAAGTATAGATTTATCATCCCAAGTTTAAAACAGCCTCTTATGTTGTGAGACATCCTGACTTTCTTTCAGTATGGAAGTTTTATCGCTACACCATTTATTCCCCTTTTATTGTTTTGAAGTTGTTGCCATGTATATCTTTCTATTTCTGGTGATTTTTCATTGATTTCATAGCTTTATCGTACTCTTTATCCAAGTCTTTACTTGGTCTGATATCTGGGTGATGTCGTCATCCCCACGGGGCAGTTCTGCCCGTACTAGAGGGTCATTCTGATTCAGACTTGACTCAATGGAGGTGAATTTGTTTTTGGGTTTGTTTTTTGGGGGGGCTATTGTTGAACATCTTTAGTTTTGTATCTGAAGGGATTCCTTTTAATATTTCTTTGAGAGCCTGGAGTTTATATGCCATTGGTTTCTGTTTATCTGGGAATATAATTTTACCTTTATTTTTGGAGATAGTTTTGCTGGATATATTTTTGCTTGGTACTTTTCTTTTAGGGCCTTGTGTATGTCATCCCATTGCCTTCTTGCCTTGATGCTTTCCAGTGAGAAATACACTCTTAACTTTTGGGGCCCTTTTTTGTATTGCTTTTGTTTTGGTGTTTTGGGAGGTGGCTTTTCTTCTCTGTCTTGTCTCCTCCGTTTATATGGTTTGAATTGCTGTGGAGTTGTCTGTGTATATCTGACAAGGCTTCTGCTGGTTGCCTGAGTGTGTTTTGTTTTGTTTTCCTCACTGGTGGGAATGGTGTGTCACAAACACATGGTGGTCTTCTTTCGTGAGGCTTGTGTGACTTAGAGAAATGTTTAGTGGTATGCCGCAAACATGTCTTTTCTCTGATGTGCAACCTTTTTGTTGGGTGGTCAGGGTCTTGTTACAGTTTTTAAGAGATAATATGTTTCCTCTTTCTTGCCACAAGCAATTAGTGCAACTTCTGATGAGCAGAATGGGGTACAGGGGAGGGTGGGCAGGATAGTGTGCAGAATGCTGCCTGCTGGAAAAGGTAGGGGAGGTTGCCCAGGCAGGATGTGCAGCCCTGCTCAGCTGGAAGAGGTCTTTGGGAGTCGGGGGTGTGGATAGAGGCCCATGTATTCAGGATGGGATGAGGGGCACAGCGAGAAGCCTGGCCTAGTTTGTGCAACTGGTTGTACTTCAAAAGAGGGCTGGAGGCCAAGGTAGGCATCGGGAGTGTATGTGGTAGCACAGGGTGCCTACGTCTCACAGCCAGGTCGTGGGGAGCCTGCACCTCTACTTCTTGGTCTGGGCCATCAACCTGATTCATTTTTTTCTTGCTGAATTGATCTTGGATTCCTGGGTTAAGCCATTATTCAAGTTGTATTATCCTCTTGTCTATATTATTTGTTTTTACTAACTGATATTTTCTAAAGGAATGTTTCAAGCTAAGTTTATGTTGAATTCCAAAAATAAGTTGAGGAGTATTTCTGCTTCTTACATTTCCTTTAAAACTTTTTGGAGGATCGCATCTTAAAAGAGTTTATTGGCAATTTGATATTTACTTCCCTAAATGTTTGTGAGAGAATTTACCAGGGAGCTACCAAAGTTGGAATGTGACATGGTTTTTGGTTATTTTTTGGATTGCTGTGAAGATACAAACTTGTTCATATTTTCTGTTTTTTTGTGTGTCTTGTTTACCTAGGTTGTATTCTTTAGAGAATTTTTTGCTTATCCAAGTTTTTTTATTTTTTATTTTAGAATGCATTTAAAATTATACTTTAACAAAGAGCTACTAATGATTCTATTTCTTTCCCCCAACAGAACAATAAGTAATCTAAATGCATGATGAAATTAAGCATTTGGGTTAATAGACTGTTTTGCTTATCTGCTAATAGAATATTCTGGTTATCTATGATTTTTCTATAATGCTTGTTTTTGTTATAAATAACAAATTAGTTATATATATATAAAAATTAGTCCCTGCTAATTTTATTAGTTATAGAGTTATATGGGCATAAAACATTCATAAAAAGAATCATGCTACACATGGAAGAAGCACACCAACATCTGTGAACCAAGGATTGTAAATTAAATAATCCAAAGCCAAAAGAGGAAATAGTATCAGAGCTTAAATTATGAGATTTTGATGTGCAGAAGGCTGTGGAAACAGTGGAAGCCCAAAATACATTTGTAGGATCTACAGAGGGAATAAATAAGCCTCTGGTGATTTCCCTGTAACAATAACTGAGGGATGGGAATAACCTGGTTATCAGACAAAGTATTAGAGAGATGATGATAGTAGATTAAAATGATAAATCTGACTTAAATGGTTAAAATCTTATCACTTGATCTTTCCTATAATATACTTTGTGCTGAATCTGGTTTTAATATTTTCTGGGTTTTTTTTCTCTTCATATTGAGGTTTATCTCTGTTATATTTTGTCATTGTTGGGAGCTTCCTTGAATCTTTTTTAATGTGTTTTCCTGTTTGTCGGTATATGAAGCCCCAGGTTGATGAAACTACAGAGACAACAACTAGAAGAAGGGTTCTTGAGGTGTGGGGGTCGGGAGGGAGGGCTTAGGGGGGACCTGATATCAGGGAGTTCAAGAAGGAAGAAAATACTTTGAAACTGATTTTATTTATTCATTTTTCTTGTCTATGAAACTGATTTTAATAACAATTATACAACACTGCTTGATGTGATTGTACTATGGAATGGTATAATGTCTGGATTAGCTCCTAATAAAATGGTTTGGGGATAAAAAAAAGAATTAAGACTATTTGCATAGATTCTTTTTAGTTTCCGACTAAGTAACCAACAGCTATGTTAAAGCTGACTGCTGAAAAATTACATTCTGTATTTTTTTTAAAGTAATTTTGTTCTTATTTTTAAGATAAATAATCTGGAGCCCAAAGATTATCTCCAGGTTTGTCTTCGAATAAGACCATTAACACAATCAGAAAAGGAACGTGAATCTGAGGTTTGTGTTGAATTTAATTGAGTTCTAACATTTATTTTTCACTGAATGGGTAGGATGCTATTGCTCCGATTTATTTATTGTGGACATATGTTCTAGGGCTGTGTGTGTGTTTTGGATTCACAGACCATTCTACTTAAAGATCCTCAAAATATCTTCAGTCAGTCAACTGAGAAAAGCTTTGGGCAGACGACACAGAAATTCAGCTTTTCTAAGGTAAGTGTCCATGAGAAACTGATCAGTTTTTTTTTGTTTTTTTTTTTAGAAAATAGTAAGGTCAACTTAGTTAATAATATATATAATGAACTAAATATTTTATACTTATAAACCTTAGATTTTAAACATTGTAATATTTTCTCAAGTATAAGGCTAAAATTTCAAGTTCATAAATTTGAAGGGACTTCAAAAGGGTTTTAGACAATTTCCATTCTCATTGAAGTCCACATTTCATGAACTTTTAAAAGCCCTCTAACATACAGTTGGAAGTAAATTAATCACTATACAGTATTCTAATTCCCCGGCCCCCTTTTTAAAAAGTGGTAAGTTCTTTTCAAAACTTGATTGACTGAGTTAGATTCCAGTGTTTAAAACTTTCTGATACTTAGTGGTTAAGCTGTCAAGTGTACTTGTTGGAGTGAGTAACAGTCTGAAAGAATGAGTCCTTAATTTTTAAAACATAATATATAATGTAACAATTAGATTGAGCTTTCTAAAAAGTTATATGTTTAAAATGCTTACTTAGGTTTTTGGCCCAGAAACTACACAGAAGGAATTCTTTCAGGGCTGCATTATGCAACTCGTAAAGGATCTCTTGAAAGGACAAAGTCGGCTGATATTTACTTATGGGGTAACCAACTCTGGAAAAACATATACAATACAAGGTAATGCTTTGCTTTACTCTTGATAGGGAAAAAAGCAACAACAGTAATATGCCTATTTTCAGAATAGTTGTATAATTTCTGTCACAACTGTAAATGCCTTTTAATTCAGATTGATTTAGGTTACTGTGAAATTACCTTGCCCATATCATGAGAGTATGATGCTAATGAAAATTTAGAAACTAGATGGCTATGATAATATATTGCCAGGAACACATTTTATATTTATTTTTTATACTTTGTAACTGGGAGTACAAATCTTACTTGATCTGAATATTAATTTCAGATTTTACATCAGAATAGTTAATGTTCGTTATACAGTGGATACTAAAGTCATGGAAAACTTTGAGTGATTCCTCAATTTCTCACTTTCTCTTAGCTCTTTCGTATTGGTAGTATACCTGTTGCTAATTAGTTGATTCTGACTCATAGCGACCCTATAGGACTGAGTAGAACTGCTGCCCCTTTGGATTTCCGAGGGTGTATGTAAGTCTTTATGGGAGTAGAAAGTCACATCTTTCTACCACAGAGCGACTGCTGAGTTCAGGCTGCTGACCTTACGGTTCAAAGCCAAACATGGAATCCACAATGCCACCAGCACTTCTAAAAACAGCATAATAGGAACATGGAGCATTTCTCCGTTATTACATAATGCCCAAACCACAAAATCATGACCCAGCCATATTGGCACATTATCTTGACTCTCACAGTCACTGTTACCCTTGCCTCGCCCTTGGCATTAATTACTGTCAGATTCTTACCATGAAGGCACAAATAGTTATATAATAAATTGTTTACTAAAATTGAAATGTCAAAAATGCGAAAATTTGTAAGAAGAGTAGGTGTAAAACAAAAGTTCTTTTCAGGCACAGAAGAAAATATTGGTATCCTGCCTCGAACTTTCAGTGTATTATTCGACAGTCTTCGGGAAAGACTATATACAAAGATGAACCTTAAACCACATAGATCCAGAGAATACATACGGCTGCCACCAGATCAAGAGAAAGAAGAAATTGCTTACAAAAGTGCATTGCTTCGGCAAATTAAAGAGGTATGGAAGTATCTTAGTAGATAAAATATATATAGATCTTGAGTTTTATCAATCTTTAGTTGGTTTCAGCCGGTATTAGACTGGTGGTGCTGGTTACTTTTCCTTTTTGAGAAAAATATTGATATCTTGTTTGAAAACATACCTGTTTTGTATTTTACAAAGAGAAAGAATGCTTCAACAATACAAATGTAAATAGTTTTAAAATCTTTTGGATTGTAGAAGTAACATTGTACTTTATATAACATAGGGAGCCCAGGTGGTGTAATGAGTAACCCATTGGGCTGCTAACCACAAAGTCAGCAGTTCGAAACCACCTGTTCCTCAGTGGGAGAAAGGTGAGGCTTTCTACTACCGAAGAGTTACAGTTTTGGAAACCCACAGGGACAGCTCTACCCCATCCTGTAGGGTCACTAGGAGTCAAAACATACAGTGGCAGTGAGTTTGGGGAGTTTAAATAATACATAGATGGTTTTTTAGAAGTTCTTTATTATTGTAAAATGTACTCACAATGTTTAAACAAGGGAATGTGGGGGAAATGTGGAAGTTTCTTATGAAATCGTTCTGTTTCCCACACATATTCTATTTCTCAAGGGAAAAAAAACCACTGTTAGCAAAAGCAGCCCAGCAACGTGTTATTTTTCTCTTGTATAAAATCCACACAAACAACTGTCTATATATGTCTGTAGCATTGCAGGGCAGCTAAGTAGGGGGGGGGAAGTTATGTATGACTATGTTTTCATATACTTTTATTATATGTAGAGTATGCTTTGTTTTGTTTTACAAAAATGAGAGCTTATCTGTAACTTAGTCTTTGATTTAACACATCTGAAAGCCCTTGTCATCTGTAATTTTTAAGGCTATTACCTATTTTACTGTATATTCCTTATGTGCTTATTTTTTAATCATATTTTTATATTCTCTTTTGGTGGACATTTAGATTTTTTTCACTCTTCACTATTTAATCAGTCTTTGAGGAGCTCTCTGGTGGGTTTTGAACCCACCAACTACTCTGTGGGAGAAAGTTAAGGCTGATCCCATAAAATATTTACAGCCTTGGAAACTGGGGAGCAGTTATACTCTGCTTTGTAGGGTCTTTATGAGCCTGAATCAACTTGATAACAGTGGCTTTGTGTTTTTGGTTACGTTCAGTAAGGAAACATTTTTTTAAACATATATTTCTATAAACGTTTTTCTGAAGGATAAATCATTTGAGGTAATTTGTGTGTCTTAGAATTTCTCAGGGGAAAAAAAACAAAAGATTTCTCAGAAGTTGCCAGACATGTTGTTTGCACATTTAAGATAATTTGACTTTTTCTTAGTGATTTGTAAGAACTTACTTGAAAACTTTAATATATTAAGGACTTCAAAAAAGTTATGGGAACATTGCATTATGTTTTAATTCCATTTATCTACAAACTTTTCTAAGCCTTGTATGGGTTAGGATCCCTGGTGGTGTAGTGATTACCTGTTGTGCTGTTAACCACAAGGTCAGTCGTTCAAAACCACTAGCTGCTCCCTTGGAAGAAAGACAGGTTTTCTATTCTGTAAAGAGTTACAGCCTTGGGAACTCACCGGGGGCAGTTCTGCCCTGCCCTGCAGGGTCGCGATGAGTCAGTTGATTTGGCGGCACTGAATTTGGTTTGATTTTGGTTTTATGGGTTGTCGATTTCCCTGCTAATTGTTTGTCCCATCTCCTTTGATTTATCATGTTTTAACATTGAACATTTTGTGTTTAAACTCAAATTCAAACTCACTGCCATTGAAGCGCTTCCAACTTGTAGCAACTGTGTGGGACCCAGTAGAACTGCCCGTGTGGGTTTCTGAGGCTGTAAGTCTTTACAGGAGTAGAAAGCCTCATCTTGCTCCCAAGTTTGTATTAGGATCCCTGGTATGGTCCAGACAGTGCTCTAAATGCTGGGAACACATGGTAATGGCCTCGTGGAAGTTTTATTCTATTAGAGGAAATAACTGACAATGTATTAATAGAAAAATAACTACATAAAGATAGGCTGTGAGGGGATTTTATGTACATATATATGTATATGCTGTGCTGTACAGACTTGTAACAACTTTTATAAGGTTTTCATCTGAGCTTCATGTTAGTGTTTTTTATTTTCCCTAGCTGTTTATCCTATTCAAAATTGTTGAAAACTATTAACGGTTTCTACAAATAAATTTTACATGAAAATGGGCATTTTTAAAAAGCTAGTGTCTCAGAGTCATAAGGAAAAGTTTTTTCATTTACTGGAGTTCAAAGTTCAGAGTACATGATGGTTTATGAAATTAAGATAATTTAGCCTTTTAACAAAATTATGGAGGTTAATGACAAATTTTCATGCATACTTCATAAAGGACGTTAAAATGTTAGTATTAAAAAAACGCCTATTCAATCCAGTTAAAACAAAATGTTATTTTGCCTATGTAATTAAGAGTTTAATTAAACGTAATTAAAATTTTAAATGAAATGTTCACTTTCTTATAAAACCAAACTCACCACCATCAAGTCACTTGTGACTGCAGTAGAACTGCCCTGGTGGGGTTTGAGGCTGGGAATCTTCGTGGGACCAGAAACTTCATCTCTTTCTCACTGTGCCACCAGGGCTTCTGCATCTTCATATTTTGATCATAAAGTGTGTTTCTAGAAGGCAGTTTTTTCCCCCAACAGTTTTATTGTCACATAAATTACCTATCATATAATCAAATAGTTCAGTTGTTCATTCAAATAGTTTAATTGTTCAATCATATCAAGGAGAATCGTACAATCACCACACCATACCACATTGATTTTAGAGCATCTCCCCCCAATGGTTAAATCACCTTTAAAATGAGTTGTGCAATCAAAATCCGTTCCAGTGCTCCCTCCTCCCTCCCGTCTTCATGATTTACTCCCTAAATTTCCTTTCCCTCCGTCACCCACTCCTGCATCCCCTGTCAACCCTTGTATCAGTTAGTTTCATTATACATCCACCCCTCCTGTGCTTCACAGATGGGAAACCCAACAGAAAGCAATAAAAAACAAAATTGCACTAATGTGGTAAAGATAAAATCATAATAGTATAAAGACAAAAATACTAATAATGAAGAAAGAAAAGACCCACCTCAACATTCAAAAAGCCAGGGAAGAAATTTCTGTCATGGAACAAGTAAGAGATATTGCACCCAGCATAAATTCAGGTCGTGACTAGAAAGCAATTTGACAAGGCTCTATTAAAGGAGCTGCTGGTGGCATGGTGGGTTAAGCTGCTAACTACAAGGTCAGTAGTCAGAATCCTGCTGCCCAGTGAACGATGAGAGACTTCCTGCTCCCATAAAGATGTACGGCCTCAGAAACTGACGGGCAGTGCTGCTCTGTCCTGTATGGCCACTTTGAATTGTCTTGATGGCAGTGAGAGTTCTTGAGTATATTAAGAGAAAAGGAAAACATAACTTTTGTGTGTGGGGGGAGGGAGTATCTTTTTATCCATCAATTCTAGTTTTAGAAAAATACCCTAAGATAATAATTGTACCATCGGGGGGAATAATATATAAAGATGCTTATTACAGTATTTATATTTACAGAGCTTTGTGAATCTAGATGCTTTTAAAATAGCAATCATTATGTTGTCTTACACCTATTCAGGTATGCACTCACTGAATATTTACAGATAAGTTTTAATTTTAGGGAGTGCATCAATAGTAGGAGAAAGGAATCCCAGGGGATGCAGTGAAACATTAACAGCAGTTGCCTGTGGATGGCAGGGATTGTGCAAAATATCGGAAGCATTGTTTTTGTGGTTTCAAGCTTACTCGTATGAGGGTGTAGTATGTAAGAGAACTAAAAAGCAGAAGTCATGAATCGAGAGGCTGGCAAGTTGTGGTTTGGTAGGTGACTTATTTGGATAGGCGGTATGCTTCTTGTTCAATTATAACTAAATATGTTTCCTTATAACTTTGTTTTTTAGGTTGCTGTGCATAATGATAGTTCTGAGACTCTTCATGGTAAAGCTTATTTTCCAACTTTTTAAAAAAAATCATCATAGAAAATTTGAATCATTCCTAAATCTAGTTATTTTAATAACATAATCACTAATACCATACCAGCAATAATTCATACAATTTTACATATCTATCTAGAATGTTGAAGGCTTCCTGGTGGCGTAGTCAGTTAAGTATTAGACTGTTAACAGTTCAAACCCACTAGCCGCCGCTCCACAGGATAAAGATGAGGTGGAGTGCTCCTGGAAGATGAACAATCTTGGGAACGCTAAGGAGCATTTCTGCACTGACTTGCAGGGTTTCATTTCTGAAATGCTGGCACAAAACTATATTTGGATTAACTATTGGCTATTTCTTTTAGTGTCTGTAATTTCATGTACTAACAGTAGACACATGTTCTTTTCCTTTAATCTCAATTTGGTACCGTACTGTATTTTTTTATAAGAATAAAAATAGACTAAAATTCTAAGTCTTGATTTATTTGATATTTTATGTTATTTTTAGTTAATTGCTAATTTAATTTTTAATTTTCTTTTCTACAGGGAGTTTAATAAATTCTTTGAATGTCTCAGAGTTTGAAGAATCCAATGCAGATTGTGAACAAGCCAGCTTGACTATGGATAATAATATTAAATTTTCTGTGTGGGTTTCTTTCTTTGAGATTTACAATGAATATATATATGACTTATTTGTTCCTGTATCACCCAAGTTCCAAAAAAGAAAGATGCTGCGCCTTTCCCAAGATGTCAAGGGTTATTCTTTTATAAAAGGTATATATTTAGCCCTCCAAATATTCCTTTTATATTTTATGGAAGCAAACTAGAAATGGAATTTTTTACACTGAATTGTTAATATCAAGAAACTACTAGGTAGTTGTGCTTTGGAAGTATGTTTTGAAATGTTTATTAACAATTAAATACAGCTTATTATTGTTGGATTACCTTTGTATGAGGATCAATGGAGATGGGAAAAGTTGTTGAGCAGTCATATTGGACCTCTGAAATGTTACTGTGCTTCCACAGGGCTGCTTTTAAACCATATTAAAACACTGAATCAATAGCCTCATGGCCACTATCTGCAGATGTGTATATATTTAACCATGTTTCTAACTCACAGTTTTAGTAAGTATTCTTACCCTTACTACAAGGAATGGACTGCTGTATTTTCTCTATTCTATATCCTTTTAAAAATGCTGGTTATGACTCTATACATTTGACTTATGACTCACCAGTGGATTGCAATGTGCCGGGTGTCACATCGTAGTTTTTCAAGTGTAGTCTATATTTTGTCATTTTAATTTTATGTCTGGGCTTCTAATTCTCAGGAATATTACTTTTGAATTTTCCCTTTGGCAGACAATTAAAGACCATTTACTTTATGTAATATAAATTATAAAATATAACATTATATATTATGTAAATATATAAATACAGCATTATAATGTCCTCTTCTGTACCTTCTCGCTAGGAACAAGTAGAATAGCTGTGTCGATTTAATGAAAGGTGTCTTACTAAAAGAGAGTTTTTACCATGCATTGCTAGGAACAGATCTAAGAGATTTAATTTGTAGAACAAAATTTGTGTTACAAATTGATGCATGTGTATTTTTTTAAGATCTTCAATGGATTCAAGTATCTGATGCCAAAGAAGCATATAAACTTTTGAAAGTAGGAATAAAGAACAAGAGTGTTGCCTTCACAAAACTGAACAGTGCTTCCAGTAGAAGGTAAAGAACAAACCCTATGGTACCTGCCTGAATCACGCAGGGTATAGACTACTGATTTCAATAATTTCGACTTCCAGTGGATAACAGGGTCTATGGTATGTGAAGTGATTCATAGGCTTAAAAATAACCTGTAAAGTGTAGAACACTCAGACAAATAAAAATATCAGTGCATTTTTTTAAACATTAGTTTATGGATTTGAGGGAAGGCTTTCAGGTATTTAGTACTTTCTTTTTATGTGACTATGGTTAATGTATTCAATGCTGCTTACAAAGGTAAGCATTTCTCTGTGCTTTTCCTACTTAACTCATGAACACAAATACTACATGAGTTGAATCATAAATATGAAATAAGGATACATTTTTCAAAGGATTGGAGATAGGAAAGCATAAGGTTATATATTGCGGAGGCAAGATATTTAAAACCGCTTTTCTGTTAAGGGGGAAAAAGCCCTATCCATAACCTGTGATGGAAGGTCACAACAAAGAGCAGGTTTAAGAGATTTGGGCTAGCTGAAAGGTACTTTAATTGGTTTAGGTGGGCAGGTATGTGTGCGATAATGGAGTACTAGGTTGAAATATCTGTCAGCTACTTGGAAAATATAATGCCGGAGGTAGGGCTAGATGTTTTGGACTCAGTGATTTAAAATACTGTGTCTCTTATTTAGCAAGCCCTCATAGTTAAAATACTCAGCTTCTAATTTAGGAATGGGCTGTTCAAACCCTCCGCAGAGAAAAAGGAGGCAGTTCTGCTCTGCTAGTGTTCCTCTGAGTCAGAAGTGATTCAGTGGCAATGAATTTCAGTTATTGTTTTGTTTGCCTCTCGTGTTTAGGATGCAAACATTAAAAATGAAAAGATGTTAATTTATTTTTTGTATATTTCCTTTTAGTCACAGCATATTCACTATAAAAATATTACAGATTGAAGATTCTGAAATGCCTCGTGTGATACGAGTCAGTGAGTAAGTTGATCATTTTAAAAATTGTGATTATTTTGAGTTGCTCTGAAGGACTTTTAAAGGAATGGTTATTATTTTGGATGATTTAGATTGTCTTTGTGTGACCTTGCTGGATCAGAACGAAGTCTGAAGACACAGAATGAAGGTGAGAGGTTAAGAGAGACTGGAAACATCAACACTTCTTTACTGACCCTTGGGAAGTGTATTAATGTTTTAAAGAACAGCGAAAAGTCAAAGTAAGTGCTGCTGAAAGTGAGTGCTATTAACATACTGTGTATTATAATATTTAAACGTTCAGTGTGGCTATTTTAGGGAGTACTGAGAGATTGTAGATTCTAAGGGTGAAGTAGAATTTGAGAACTGCCATTTAGTCCCGTCCTTAACCAAAAGTCAACATGATTCTCCATGGTGTTGGGTGCTGCTGAGTCTGTTTCAGCTCACAGCAGGCCATGAGACAGCTGACTGCTCAATGGGGTTGTGTGAGTTATACTGTATGTAGAATGGATCACCACATCTTACTCCAGCTGAGCCCACGGAGACACTGGGTGGGGTCCAGCCAACAGCCTTCAGTTAGCAGTCGAGTACTTCCCATTTGTGCCATCAAGGTTCCTTACTATTTTCCATTACACATATAATTATCAACAGACACTTTGGAATAAGGTTCTCGTGATGAGCGTTTAGCATGGAAAGCCATTTTATTCCTTGTAATACATTGTGTGTGTTCTAGTTATGATGGATTCCTGTACAGATTAGCATTTCAGGCTGTGAAAGTGAGAATTCAGCCTTCACTCATTGTTAGTCAATTTATTTCCTAACATATATTAGATTGCTCTACTCTTGGAAACACAGCCCAGTTTAGTGATTGCCACTACATTTGGTGTAGTGGATTGTTGTTATTAATAGTAGGTGTTATTAGTGGATGTTGAGTCAATTCTCCATTGTGGCGGCAGTGTGTATTCAATAGAACTGCATTCCATAGGGTTTCAGGCTGTGGCCTTTTGGAAGCAGATCACTTTGGAGATGCCTCTGGACTGGTTTGAGCCACTTAACTACTTGGCTAATAGTCTGGGTTGCAACCATATGTGCTACTTGGGTACTCATATTAGTAGTATGTAAAGAACATAACATAAATGAACCAAAAAAAAAAAACTATTACTGGGCTCACTAACCCAGATTTTAAGACCGGGTTGTTGGATCCATAATTTGTAGACATATAAATACCTTGACTTTATGAGATTTGTTTTATGTCTTTGTTTTTATTTTTCACCCCCATAGATTTCAACAGCATGTGCCTTTCCGAGAAAGTAAACTCACCCACTATTTTCAAAGTTATTTTAATGGTAAAGGGAAAATATGCATGATTGTCAACATCAGCCAATGTTGTTTTGCCTATGATGAAACGCTCAATGTCTTGAAGTTCTCGGCCATTGCACAAAAAGTAAATATAATTAAACTTCTGCAGAATGTTTTAAACATCTTCTGTTTATGAAAATATTAGTTATTTTTTCTTAGATTAAATAATATATTTTGTACTTGCCACTGTAAACTTGAGAAATCATTGAAAAATTTAAATATACATGTGTGGTCAAGTAGAAAGAGATGGGGAAAGACTAAAAGTTGTCTCTATAAGGATTAAAATCATCATAGTAATGTTAGTTAATAATAAACATCAGTTACATATTGTAAGTGTTCTTAGAACGATGGTCTGCTGTACCATCTATCTGGCTCATTTAGTGCCCTTGGGTATACACCTGCAAAATATAGTACTAAGAGCATAACCCAAGTAGATGGATTTACCTGTGTTTTATATGTGCAATTAGATTTTTCCCCATAGGATGTTTGTTTAAGGGTGTTAATTTCCCCCCCATATATTTGTCATTTTTCTTTTAAAATTAAATTTGTTGTTTGATTTAAATTTGCAACCTATCTTTTAGCAAGCTGTAAATGCCTTTTCTCTATTAAAAGTCACATTGGATATCTTAACAGGTTTTTGTTCCAGACACTTTAAATACTTCCCTAGAAAAATCATTTGCACCTGTCAAATCTTCTCAAGACATTTCAGTAGACATTAGTGATTCAGACAGGAAAACATTCAAGGTTAAAAGAACCACTATGTCATGGGAGAGTAATCTAGAAGATCTGGTGGAAGATGAGGATCTGGAAGGAGCTGAAGAAAACCAGAATGTAGAACCTGAGTTTACCGAAGAAGATCTAGATCAGACATTAGAAGAAGACGAGGCTCTCAGTAACGAGGAGAAGAAAGTATGTATTAACTCTCACTTGCAAACTTGGCTTATTACTATTATTTTTTTATGTAAGTACATTTCCCCTCTCAACCTTTTGAAGTGACTTGTTTTAAAAGCACAATTTTATTGGCACTACAGTAGGCTATACTAGAATTGCCAACCAGAATCTTTCTTTCAAACAGAATAATCGACAAAAAAAAAAATAATAATAAAAACTAATTATTGGTAGCTAATAATAAACCAGCACTCCCAGATAGTTCCATGTTCATGCTGGTCTCTAAGTCACCCACACTTCTCCTTTTATAGTTACTTATTGCTATACACATTGGGAAATTGGTGGTGGCTTAAAATGAGAAAAATAACATTATCTAGGCATGGTAGAAACATGAGATGAATAAGAATAAGAAACAAATTTAAATATAAAGATCTTGCTGACTACATTGCTCTTTTGAAACCTGATTTTCTTTATTTAGAAATGAATTGTGACAAGTATGGGTTTAGTATATATCATCCTGATTGATTATATAATAGGGATTTCTTTTTTTTCTTGCAAATAACATGCTTTCTACTTTAGTTTGCCAACTGTTTCCTCTTTCTGGGAGATATTTTTGTAAGGGTTCCTGCACTATTTTTCTGCCCCAGCATATTTACAGAGATACCTTTTAAGGTGAGGGAGAAGTTGGCACACATAGAAGGCATGTGTTATTTGTGAGGAAAAAGGTTATTTACTCTGTAGCTCTACCACAATTGAACCAGTTCCTTAAGGTTGGCTGTTGTGGTGGGACTTCTGAATGGACCTAAACACTTAGAGACATTGGAGTTAATACAAATGTATTTCCAGGTTGTGGGAAGTTTTATTTGGCTTTCCAGATTATGAATCTTTGCAAACGCATAACTTTTAGTTGTAATTATTTTTAAATGATGCATAATTATAATCAAGTTAAATGAAAAGTAAGAATTTTATTTTCTAGTCGTCTGCAGTTTCTCTTGGAATGTAAGTTATTCCTTAGTGAGAATTTTAATATTTTGATGTTTTAGAAACTCTTGGATTTAATAGAAGACTTGAAAAATAAATTGATAAATGAAAAAAAAGAAAAGTTAACATTGGAGTTTAAAATAAGAGAAGAAGTTACACAGGAGTTTACTCAGTATTTAGCTCAACGGGAAGCTGACTTTAAGTAAGTTTTCTCCTTCGTGTCCTGAAAAAATTTGAGAATTTTATTTATTTGTTTTACATTAAATAATATCTAGATAAAGAAGTGACCTCTGTACAGGTTTAAAATAGCTGTCAGCAATGTCTAAAATGATCTGGAATGTGTATGGTATTTTTAGAAAACATGAAGTTTTGCTTTTCTTTGTCTTAATGGGGTTAATTTGTGTTATGAAGGGAAACTCTTCTTCAGGAACGAGAGCAATTAGAAGAAAATGCCGAATGTCGTTTGGCTATCTTTAAAGATTTGGTAGATAGATGTGAACATCAGGAAGAGCCAAGGAATGAAGATTGTGCCGTGACAGTTGGAACTGAAGTATGTTGACCGAGATATTTTTTAACAATCCATTGAGGCTTTTGGTACGGGGCGTTAGTGTGCCTCATAAATGCTGAGAAAATAGTATACTTTCGAACAAACAAAAAGAACTTACTTTGTAGTGTTACTATCAACCATGTTTGGTCAGGAACATAAAGTCTATCTAGTTTAATATAGCAATTGGACTTTGAACAATGTATACCTCGTATAGTTCTATCTCATTTTGGTATTGCTTCAGATACTGTACTTTCAGAAACTTGTATACCTTTTGTCCAGCTATGGGCACTTCGCCCAGATGTGTTATAAACTTGAGGAATTTAAAATGTATAAGATCTTTAAGAGATAATTCATATCGCTAAACAGAAGGATTATATGAGGGAATTTTTTAACGTTAGGAAAATCCCGTTATCTTTTAATTCCATTTCTCCACAAACTCTTTGAAGCCCCTCGTTTAAGAAAAGGATTGCCCTTGCTGGGCAACTGACCATCTCTCCTATGGGCACGATATTTCCCTTTCCTGTGACCGTTTCTGGGCTGCCACTCAACCTGAAATGGATGCTGCCTTTGGATTGTTGCTTTTGTATGTTTTTTAAACACTCTCTTCAGGGGCCTGGGAAGGTAAGGTCTGGGGTCTCATAGTCAAAGCATTATCTGTGTCCCTGGCATGCTTGGGAATTTGGACTGAGTTGTGAAAATTCCCTGTGCTTTTTTCACCAAGGCCTCTCAAAAAAGCCGAGTTTTTCAGCACATTTTTAATGCAGTTTTTGTGGTAAAATTAGGTGCCTTGGCTAATATTCGGGTTGGCTTATACTCGAGGATATATGGTATATAATTTAATGTATGCATGAATTGAGTAAACAATTATTTTGTAATAATTTGTCATAGCTTATGATATTGTGGGAAAATATGCCTCATGGAACATACAGCCAAAAGGGAGTAATGGAATACAACTTTTTTTATAATTGGAGATTCTTTGTAATTTAAAATTTTCATGTTGTGAACTTTTTATGTTTTGAAACTGTCTAACTCATGTGGCGCCATCCTGAGAGTGAAAGCCACTGTTGACATTAGGCATGTGGTTTTTGCTATTTTTAGGGAGCACATAATTGTGTAGAGATTGAAGATTTTATTGATTCTCTCCAAGATGATGTCACTGATATTAAGAAACAGGCTGAAATTGCTCACTTATATATTGCATCTCTTGCTGACCCCCAGGAAGCTATTGCTTGTTTAGAATTAAAGTTTAATCAAGTTACAGCTGAGTTAGCTAAGACTAAAGAGGAATTAATCAAAACCCAAGAAAAGTTAAACAAAGAAAATGGTAAGTAAATTCTATTTCTGTTATTTAGATATTATAAACACCTAAACAGTACAGTTTATAAGTAATGAGATATTTGTGCAGCTTATCTACCACAGTGGCCAGAAAATTCTTTGATATAGGTAGCTTATAATTTTCACACATATGACTTTTCATTAACTTAGTATGGAATATTTTCCTTAATTTGCTTTTAACCTAAATATTATCTTAATGGAAAATTAAGAAATGGCATAAGATGCGTGGAATGAATGTGTTTGTGTTACTTAATGTTTATAAGATGCATACAAGGGAACTTCAAAAAAGTTCATGGGAAAATTCCATTTTGTTACAATTTCCATTTCTCCATGAATTATTTGAATCTCCTCATATACTCTATCATCACACCTGCCTTTTTAGGAATGTGTTAGGCTGGGTTTTCTAGAAGAAGGAAAAATCAGAGGGGGGTGGTGTGTGTGTGTGTGTAGAAATTTATATCAGGAAAATGGCTCAGACAGTTATACAAATCGGTACATCCTATTCAGTTTCAAGTCTGTGGGTCAGATGTTAAGTCAGATGCTCCCCTGAATTGCATAGGCGCAGGGGCTGGTGAACTAAGGAACACCACAGGCTGCAGAGGCAGGTGCATCCAAAGTCAGCAGGTAAGGATTGTGAGTTGGTGGTGAATGAATCCAAGGTACACTGGTCAGGTGGCAGCCTACTACACGTGACTCCCAGAATCAGCAGGCAATATGGTAGGCCATTGGCTCAATCCAAAGAACCAAAGGTTGACTAGCCATAACCAGCATTCAGACACAGCATAAGAGGCAAAAGCTTTTCCACAGTCTACTTGTAATTAGGCAGTCTGACCACACCCCTCAGAGAAACTTCTTTTCGGTTGCACCTGGGCTATGACCTCATTGAGGGAGTTGCACTCCGCCCTAATCTTACAACTGCTTGGCTACTCACCAGATCCCACCATGTAATTGATCACATCATGGGAGGTTGCTAGGCCTCAGCAGCATCACTGGGAATTGCTGGCCCAGCTACATTGACACAAAACCCAATTATCACAGAGTTCTGTGAATACTCCATTTTCAACCTTTGCCATTTTGTGTGTGAAACAAACGAGTGGAAAATAGTAGGAAAATGTTGCTTTTAACTTTATGTAGCAGACAAGGAAGAAAATACTGGCTTTTCTGTGCCCTGGCATGAGCTTGGCACCTCTTTATTACTTAGCATATTGTGTGTGAACTTTTTTCTTTTCTGAAACTAACTCTATGGTGGTCAAAATATTTTCTGATTAATGTGTGTACTATGACAGTTTATTTTCCATTGTTCTTCCATGATTGTTCAGATTTCAGATTTTTTCGGATTCCAACATTTTTCAGACGCCTACGTTCTTACTGTTAATTTGGTTTTTTATTTTTCAGAATCAGAAATTAATTTAAACTCAGTTCAAAATCTTGTGAAACCTAATAAGGTAAGACTTTATAAACTTATTTTGCCTTGATAAAGAACTTAATAATTAAGTAAATGAAAGTCATGATATATTACTGTGTATTTTTAAAATTTATAATTCTAAAGAAAAAGTGAATGTGATTAATTGAAAAGTTTAAGTTTCTTTACTCCCATACCTCTTTTTAGTGGTGGCCTCTGTTATGTTTCTTGAATCCTTCCAGGAAAGTTGTATGCATACCAAGAACTCTCTCGCTCATACAGACACTTGAAACTTCATTTGCACAAATGATGGTGTAGTTCTAAGTCTTGCTTTTCTTCTCTTGGCGAATACCTTACAGATGATTACATGTGCACACGTGGATCTGACTTCTTCTCTAGTTGCATGATTTTGGTTAGATGTACTATTTAAATTTATTTTGTGAGAAATGACTGAATGTTTTAAAATCTGAGTTATACATAGTATAATGTTCAGCATGGGAAAAGGGCCCTTTACCTGAGGATCTCAAAAACCTTAATGTCTTCTGATCAGATAAACATTCCAATTGGCTGTAGGTGGGCTTGACATCTGGAAGTGTGAAAATAAAATTAGAGGTATAGAAATGAATTTAGAGCTCTTAACATGATTTTCTTTTCTTTGTTTGGCATGAGTCTTATTAAGTAACTAACACTATTTTAAAGAACTTAATTTTAGGATAACCAATATTGATATATCACATCTAGTATTTAAAGGATTGACTTGGCAGAAGAGATTGCAATTAGTCTGTAGTCTGTAGACAATTCCTGCTCTTTCCTTTTTTTCTAGTTATAAAATAATAGATGGTATTTATAAAGTTCAGTTAATATAAAAATATTAAATAATATTAAAATAACAGAAAGTAAAAGCCCCTATAATCATATCTTAGGGGGAAAAAAGAAAAATCCTATAAATTGTTAGCTCTTCTAATATTTCGTACTTGTTTTTGTTTGTAAACATTGACTACTATGCATTTTTTATGTAAGTAACTCATTTAAATATAAAGACTTTATATTGTGGATACTGTTAATATCTTTTACTTTAGCCAAGTAATTTGCCCCAGATCATACAGCAAGGACATGGAAACGCTGAGATTCCAAGACAGTCTGACTGCAGCTTTTCCTGTCTTTCAATAGACTGTGCTGCTTCTTTGATATATTTATAAACATGATTGTTTTTAAACCAGAAATGAGATCATCCTCTGCATAGTGTGTTACCACTGACTATTTTTACTTACACTTAAAATTTCATGTGATTTACTTGTCCCAAAATATATGTACTAAATTTTCTATTTCGCCCCCTAAATAGTAATAATTGCACAAAATCAGAAAATTCAAGAGTTGATAGATATAGTTAAGCAAAAAGAGGAGGCTATCAAGTTTCAGAATTTAAAATTTAAGACTTGGTAAACACATTAAGACATTATAAAAATTGTAAACTAGATGAAAAAGCCTGTGCCTTAGTTTGAAGTTAAAGTAATTTATTTATTTATTTATTTATTTTTTAATTAATCAATTTATTGGGGCTCATACAATTCATCACAATACATAGATCAATTGTGTAAAGCACATCTATACATTTGTTGCCCTCATCATTCC